GTGTAGGTTTACTGTCCCATCGGATTATGGGAGTGAGGGAATAGAGAGTGCATCTGTGCTTGCGCATACACTTGGGCACTATAATCCTGTCCTGCGCCGATGGCTAGCCTCCGTTGAGGCAGGCCGCCGTTGCCGGAATTCGGTCTGGAGGACATTATAATAATAATTAATATATCCGTACTGCAGCCCATGAATACCTGTAGAGAACTTAAATCAAAAACTGTTGTCACTCCTTGTCCCACCGACGACATGGAAACTATTAGCTATTGACTATTTTTTTCACTCAATAAACGAACGATAGATACAGATCCCGTATCAATAAAAGAGATACTTATATTAATAGTTGATAGCTGGCTGTTCACACTGCCAGCGAGAACGCTGCACTAGTTTGTCGCAGCAACTAGAGCTATTAAAGATAAAACTCGCAGTAAAAAAATCACAACAAAAAAGTACAACAACAAATTGGCTTGAAATGAAGGATGTATTAAAATGTCCACACCACTGGTGCATCGCCTTTTTCTTTTCCGACCATGGTTAACAAACTGCCGTGTGTCTAGATAATTTAATTCTTTTTCATTCTTTGAAGTTAGATTTCATATTTTATCAAGTTAGTTTTTTTACCTTTTTGTGTGCTCTAAGGTAATTTTGTAGTCTACCGCTAAAATTGAATATTTTGCTAAAATATTTAGCTATGTCAATAAAAAAAAAAACAGTATTTTAACAACTTTATTTGTATTATATTATAAATCATCACAATCAAAATCAAAAAAAAAAAATTATTCCGGTTCCGGTAGGTCACGTGCTGTACCATCATGAACCAGTTTTTATAAAAGTTGTGAAAAAACGGAACCATCAAAGCTTTTTAATTTTAGAGTTTGTTTGTCGTGATCGGCTTACAATCTTGTCTTATGGGCTGCAGTGCGGGTAGGGTAAAATCGCCCAAAGATCTTCTTCGATTTCTTATCAAAGACACCTATTCAAATTCATTTTGTTTAAAAGAAGTTTTGTAATACATTGTGCCATAGTATTCTTTCTTGAATTGCATCCATACTATATCAGAGTAAGGCAAACGAAAGTTGACTGACCTTGACTGACCAATATTTCTTTTTTTGCGATGAACAAAGGTACCTTTGTTCATCGCAAAAAAAGAAATATTGGTCAGAATAAGTAAATTTTTAAATGCTTCCCTTGGCATATCGATAACTTCTATCGGTGCTTTATCTGAAGAACAAGACCTAATCAATTGTTGCCAATCCCATGGCGTCATTATAGAAAATTGCGGCTGTCTTTTTTTTTCCTTTCTATAATAGAATTTATACCGTCCACCTCCATATGGGTATGACCCTTCATTAAGTATTTGTGGTTAATAACTTGCAAATTCGGTATATATTTTAATAGCCACAAATAGCACATTATAATATGAACATTTTTATTTTGTCCGGCACAATTATCGGACCAAATTGTAACCTCTTTGGTAGATGTGTTTGAAACATTTTTTTCAAACCATTTGATTAAGCCCGATGATAATTCGTTCCCTCCACGGCCTGATACGGATTCGTCCCACATAATGCAGGTACTTTTGTTCGTGGAACTATCTAATATTGTGTAGTTAAAAGTCCACAACTTGCGAAGATAGAAACTAAGATTGTTCGTTAACAAAGGAGTTGGTAAACATTTTTGTAAGTCTACAGTAATTACTTTCTTACCAGCGGTAGTATGTATACATTCCAATTTATCAAAAGCTTTTAAATCATATCTAGCCTTTGCCTCTTTCAAGTGATCATCATATCTGCTTTTTAGTGCCTCTTTTTCAGATCCCTCAGACCCACGCATTTGAATTACAAAACGATCGCAATCGTCACATGTGTCAGTTTCCGGTGGTTTAAATCCTAAATTAAAATGAGTATCAAAAATATTTCTGTATGTCCAAATTTTTGCAATCATCTTTTTTATCAACATTCTCTATTGTGCATTCCTCTTCATATAATTTATACATTAATTTTAAATTTAAATGTGCACCTAAATATTCACGCCTTGTTTTTTCTCTGCTGTAGTGACTTTCATATTTAGGGAATGATTCTATGTATTTTTTAATCATTTCTATTACTTCAGTCTTTGTTTTGTTTGGAGGCTCCTTTTTTCCTCTTTTGTCTTCTTCTATAATTCCATAGTTAGATTTTTTAATTGTATTTCGAACCACCGTTTCGGATATACCCAGAGTTCCTAAGAAAAATGTCTTATAAACACCGATTTCGTTTTGATCAACCAGAAATCTATACTCTAAAGTATGATTTCTTTGTTTTTTAGAGTCTTCTTTGCGTATTCTTCGTCTTTCTATAGCTCTTTTCCAAATACATGTCAAAATAAATTGTCGTTTCATGTCAGACGTCTTTCCTTCGTCCCAATATTTTTCAAATATATGTCTTCGTTGTTTATCGTCGATTTTGTTACTGCATCCTTTTCTGCAAGAACAAGAGGTCTTGATAGTCTTAGCAGAAACTATGTTTCCTTTTTGTGTTTCATGTAATTTGCCCGATATTGCCTTTTTACGTCTTAGATTACACTTCCATGTTTCTGGTCTTTTTAACCGTTTTCTGGTTTTTATTTTTTCAACAAATACTTCAGAACCTATTTCTGTATTTATTGCTGAACTTTCGTTTATAATAACAGGAGGTCTTGCATTATGTTGTTTCGAAGGAATAGAATCGCTTGAGTCACTTGTGTTTGGAATATAATCATCATCATCTGTCGATAAAATCTCACTCAAAGTATCACTTTTTTCGCCTGTTCTATTGGTGTTATCATCAGATTGTGATGATTGTGTAAGAGGTAATACAGAGGGAGATAGTATCTCATTCATCGGTTCGAATATTCTGCTTTGTCCTTCAGCTACTGTTACATCAGGCCATTTGGAACATCCTGGTTGATTCTCTTTTATTATATTGTCACCACCTAAAAAAATTATGTGTAAATAATTTATTTAGATACAACGTCATTCATCATACTTATTACAAAATGATGATAAAATCTATAACTAGGGTATGTCGCAATATACGTAGAAAGCTGGCACCCGGGGCAGAACTGACAGATATAGTTTACTAGTTGCGCCTTGCGGTTTCTCCCGCGTATGTCCCGATTCTATGACAATATCACGATAAAAAGTAAACTATGCATTCATACAGGTCTCCATATACTATATATATCAAGTTTCATCTCAATCAGTTTTGACAAGATTTTGACATACATTTTTGTTTCATTAACTATAATTTAACTGACATTCGACGAGAATATAAGCATAAGAAACGGGAGTATAAAAATGTTGCCTTTATGTGCGCCATATATTAAATATATTTTTCAAATAAAATAAAATACAATTTATTTTTGCTGACAGTTTGGGTTACCGCAAGACAAAAACAACAACAACATTACAGTATTCATTAAAATTGCTTTGATAGTAGTTAGGCCTATTAACTTTAAGTATGATATTATTATTAAAATAAGGTGTTTGCAAAATGTCGTTACGAGGTTGAAAAAAGTAGCATATATTCGCAGAAAAACTCTTTAAATTACATACCTGATAATTTTATCATATTGACAAGTTTCCTTCCTCGTCCGGTAAACATTTTGTTTAATTTATATGAACGAAAACAACAAATCACACGTAGTTTAAAATCACACGCAAATCTTCTCTGCCTTCGACACGATTGCAATGCCCGTTGTGGCCAGTGGCAGCGCAAGAGTAGCGGGGGGGGGGGGTAAATATAAACAAGACGTGCGCCAACGCGCGAGTTAGTGCAAAAGAATCGTAAGTCCCACATAGTGTCATTTAACACTGAAATGTCGTCTATAAATGAATGCCAAAAGATATTAAAGAACTTTAAGACTGTTTACTTTTTATGTACTCAGGGACTTAATATCCAGTTACATTTGCTAATTTAAAATAATACGGCGTTAGGACTTAATGTCTTTTACTATTGTATAAATTCGAGTTTTTCGAATCGGAATCTGTAAAAACATGAAAACGGCCAAAAATGGACTTAAGGTTCTTTAACTTTCACCTACAGATATATAATCGGATTCGCGGAAACGGTTCCAACGATTTTCATAAAATTTAGTGTCCAGGCGTTTTCGGGCAATAAATCGATCTAGAATGTCACTTTGTCCGTGTTTTCAGGCAATGAAAAACTGCTACAATATAAGAAGGTAAATTTTGACAGTGTATTAATGATCGTAATAGCTACAGTGGATATCGGGCAGTCGCGAAATCGTATTGTCCTGGTTCGCGTCTTTCGCGGAAAATCTATTATTTCGAGCTCCTTTTTTAGTATTTTTTTAAAAATATGAAAATTTAAATTAAACTAATTGCACCCATTATTTTTTATTCAAATAACCGGTTCAGGTTTTTCTATTATGTCAATAAGATCAAAAAATATTCATGTTTCGTCAGTATGTAATTTGTATCTAAATATAATTTCCAAAACACACGATTAACAAAAAAAAAAACCGAGGAAAGCTTGGTCATCCAGGTACTTAATAATAATATTTAGAGTTAAAGCCCGATTGCAGAATGTGAAGACAATTTATTTTTTTTAGCCGTTTGAAGTCTGCTTTTACTTTTTACTAAAAGTAATCTTTTTTCCCTTTTGAGTACATAGTTAAAACAATATCACAATGTCGCCTAAATAGTTCTATTAAAAACTTCACCACCTATTTTTCCACTTACAGGAGTGGAATTTTTTATCCAAATTTATATGGAACTACCCCTATAGAACTTACTATTCAATAAAAAAGAATCATCATTACGAGCTTCCAATTGATGAAGATATCGCGTAACATACATACAAAAATACCTATTTTAAACCTCCTTTTTTTGAAGTCGAATTAAACAGGAACTTTAATGCTTAGAGAGTTTATATTATTGTTGGATTTCCAGATGTTCCTAATATTTAAAACAAATGTAACCAGTTGCGCACATCCACCTGTTCCTCATAATCCTCGCAATGGCGGAGGAGCAAGCGTGCCTTGTGAGTGCGCGGTCCGACTCTGAAAGCTCTTCTAAACTAGGCAGCTTTGGGTCCATATCGCGCACAATGACTTACACGGAAGATAGACTTACAGGTAACTTTTTATAGAAATTACAGAAGTATTTGTTCAATAATATACCGTTACCGTTACAGCCTATAAAAGTGCATGCTGAACATAGGCTCCCCATAGATTGCCTTATAGGGGGACATTTGCCATAGTTGCCAAGCTTGGTGAGCAGGCTGGCAAATACACTTTTTTAAGTTGTTACTAGGAAGATGCTGCTGCCCATCTCCTGATTTGTTTCCCTCATCGGCTCTTACGAAACCCACAGGATGATAATTAGGGTATTCATAATATTCATATTCTTACACCACCACAACGCGGTAATGTTCTTATATTTAATTAAATTGTTTTGAAGTAGATAATTGTCAATAACTTAATATATTTAATTTCTTTAATTTTGCTACAGGAACAGAAGGCGCTGGGGAGCCTGGAAATGTAGCTAATACAACAGTCAACCCACCCGAACAAATCCCTGATGGCAATGAGAGTGGGGAGCTGTTAGACTATAATGACTCCAGTGTACTAGAGCAGTTTCATGAAGATGCGTTGCGCCAGGTGGTTATAAATATGAGCATAATTCAATATAATATATGTATTAATTGAATATTATAATGGATTTGGATAGTTAATGACCTATCATATCCTGTAGGTGTCATATGGTACAACTGAAAAAATAAATAAAGTGATGGTATATAATAACCTATAACCCATACTGACGACTCCGTGGCGCAGTGACTTAGCTATAAGTTACAGCGCTAAGGGCCGCGGGTTCGTATCCCGCACGGAACAAGTATTTGTATGGCCTACAAGTAATTGTTCCGGGTCTGGATGTTCGTCCTTGTGAAGATTATGCTTGTTAATTGCCCCTAGCTACAGGAGAAAATCCTAGTGTAATCTAGTGTAATCCTAGGTAACGTTCATAATACAAAAATACTGGGTTTCCTAATACCTCCAGCATTTAGCCATTTCGTCTAGTGGTTTTGTAAAGTTATGGGTTATTATTAAATTGATGATTGGCTATCATTAATTTAAAAAAATCATTTTTTGTAGCATGAATGGTATTTTTTATTCATTCAGGATTTGTTTTAGATAATTAAAACCTTGTTGGTATTTTTTTCTATGACTAACTAACACGCATTATCTAAGACGCTTGGTCCTTTGGGTTATACTTTGCGGCCAAATAATTGTATAGCAAATGCAAAAATTGATATGATCTCTTAAACTATATTTCTGCATAATATGATAATTATTTTTACTTCTGCAGGCTGGCTGTGGTCTGTCTCAAGCCCGTGTGCTACTTGCTGTGACCCTCGCTATTGCGGGGACGTCCTTAGAGTTGTCCGCCATACCTTTCGTTTTGCCGTCTGCAGAGATAGAGCTCTGTATATTGCCGCATGAGAAGAATTGGCTTGGTTTGTTTATAAGTTATTTTTTAATCCTAGCCTTCTTAGCTTATTTAGCCTTATTGCTTAGCCTATCAAAAGTCAACTGTTGAACATAGACCTCCCTGACAGATTGAGGCAATCTATCAAGGTGAAATTTGCCACGGTTACAAGGCTTGACAGGCGGGCTAACCGCATTTTTATTATTTAGAGTTGTAATCACGAAGATGCATATGTGCACTACCAATTAGTTATGTTACTGTTGGATGTTAAATAAAATATCCAAACGTGAACTGAATATCACAATATTTCTACAAAATAAAAACACATATATATAGTCAAATTTTACAGCGTTATTTTGCTATATATTGTCAAATTTGCAGAGAAAGTTCAGATCAAGCAATATAGGCGAATGGTGAAAATAAATTGATAAAAAAATATCAAACAATACATTATTTCCACTGATTGTTATTCATAAATATCTAACGCCTACTATTTTACTTTAGGCACACACATTCGTAAGGGTCGCACGATTAAAAGTTAAGGTACCTTGTCGCGCGTTCCCCGCGCCCTTCCCTTCCGTGAACGCTTACAAAGTAATGGTGGTTAATATGCGCCATATTATAATGCGCTTTCCATAGCGCACAACGCGTACTATGTAAGTAGCCGCCATGGCGCTATGGCGCTTTGGTGCTATGCATATCTAGCGGCAACTAGCTCTAGCAGCAGCGTAAGCATCTGGTTGTCGCGTGATCAAATTCGCGTCACACGTCCACTCACGTTTTGGGAGTGGACGTGTGACGCGAATTTGATCTAACAACACTCTACTCATTGCGCGCGACCGTATTTAGTATTAGACGTTGGTTAGTTAGTGTATACTGTGTATTTGTAAGTGATCGAAGGACACGGTTGTCTGCTACAAAAGTAGCCTAACAAATGTTTTTAATTTTTACAGACCTATGTCAAAGCCAAAGAGTATAGTAGATTAGGTCAATGATATTTTTTTAAATAAAGGTAAATATAACTTGAGTCATTACCATTTCTTATCCAAAAATAAAAAAAATATCAACAATTAAAATATCGAATTATTTGTATGAAGTTCAAGTGCCCGCAAGAGAAACAACAATTGCAAGACGTCGATAAATAAAATGTTTTGAGAAGTTATCAATTACAGTGTAGTGGCGGTGTAAGAATATCCACATTATCCCGTGGGTCTCGTAAGGGGCGACTAGTAAAAGTGTTATTTCTAAATAACCGTACAAAAAAGTCACAATGAAAAATCATTGTGACTTTGTCACGTTGATTACGTTGGATAACTAATTGTAACATTAGAAACGACTTATAACGTGACTTTAAATATGCATTATAGATTTAGTATTAGGTTTTATTTCAGTAGTCGAATTTTTTATTACCTTCCTTACTTAAGCTACGAACGTACTTTTTGAAGTTTACGAATTTAACCTAGCCTAGCCGATCAGTCGGTGTACTGTTCTGGTCAAAATGTCTACCGTTTCCTTCTAAACACAAACTAGCACCTCTTTGTAAATTGTTTGTTAAATTTCAACGCATGTCTATCACATTTTATCACATTAAATGCGTATATTATACGCTGCTTTAAATCACTAATACTTTGTGCTTCTTTTGTGTACACTAATCGTTTTAGTTCGGCCCACGAATAAAAGTCTAGAGGTGCTAGGTCTGGTGATCTCGCCGGCCAGTTCACAGGTTCACCGCAACCTATCCACATATCACCGAATTGGCTGTGCAGATGTGTGCGCACAGATCGTTCGTTATGAGCTGGAAATCCATCATGCTGGAAGTACATTCCTTGCAGATGGCTCAGAGGAACATTTCCCAACATTGTTATATATTGTTATTGTTACTTCCATCAATCGACCTTCAACCATATTGGAACAATGATGTGGTCGTTAATCGTTAATGATTGCCGCCCAAACGTTAGCACTGAGTGGAACTTGATGAGCATGTTCTTTGATTTTGTGTGGGTTTTGGAAACTCCACCAGTTCTCTCATCGTGCACGTTGTAAATTCCAACACGGGTAAATATCGATTCATCGCACCGTCTAAGTTTTCACCAGACAAGACATAAAATCTCGTCATTGTTAGATACTCGACATTACGAGTATTGGTACATGTTTACGGCACACACGCGGAAACATAAACGATACGACGGTGACGCGACGTGACGCCGCAGCTAATCACAGGTAACTGAAATAAGAGTTGAGGGCGCGGGCGGCTATGCCCTTGAGCCTGTGACCCTGCGAAAGGACAATGAAAAAAAGGCCTACAAAATTTATTGTTTTATTGCCGCTCATAAAGTAGGGTGGGTATGATTTAAGTTTCGATAGATTTTAATTGATTTGTTTATTTAATTCAAAGTTTATGTTTTTAGTTTTTGTAAAATGTCAATGCCAAAGGCTTCTTTCTACTCTGTTCACCTGTTACACACTATTTTTTCCTAGACGGTAAAAAATTCATCCAGTATATTATTAGATTTAGATATGTTAAAAAGGTTCGATAAAGTGCCATTACTTATAAGGTAAAGTAGATGATACTATTACAAAGCAATGTCACCCTGAAGCCCGAATTGATCCATTTGAATGATCGATCTGAATGTACCGGTACATATGGCGAATGGTTAATTTAATGATTCGTTCACTAGGAATAAATGAATGACACATGTCTAACTTGTACGGTAGGTATATAACGTGAGATCTGAGCGAGTGACAGAGCCCTGTTATCTAAAAAAGTTAACAGTAGGCAAAAACTTTGTGAATTGAATCGATACAGAAGGGCGCGCGTAGTACGCGTATTTGTTGCCCTCGATTCACATTAAATTCGGGATAATTTAAAATAAAAGTAGATGCCTTATTTATTCATATTTTCCAAAACTGCAATAAAGGTATATTAGTTACATATTTGAACTGAGGCACAAAATTTGGCTAGTCTTTAAAAAATTATATATATATATATATATATATATATATATATATATATAGGCTATATAAGATTCACAAGTAGACAGAGGGCTAGGCTATATAAGATTTACAAGTAGACAGTGGGCTAGCAAACTGGGTTGACTGCTGCCGCGGGCCCTGAGTGATAGGCTGGCCGATTGTATATAAAAATGAAACAGTACACAACACAAGCACAAGTAAATAATGACGTGAAGTTGCTCACAAGAATCTTACACTCGTTACGTTAAATAGAATTAATTTACAATCACAAAATACACGGATCACAGGTAATCAACTATAAATTGTACCGAGACTAATTTATTAAACGAATTAATTATCCGAATAGTTTAGGATGAGCTAGTAGCGGGATACAACAAGTGGATCTTGCCACGCCAGAGCCATGACTGCTTTGACAGCGGCCGCTCCGTCCGTTTTATACAATCGAGACAAGTAGCTACACGAGCTGCAGGTGCAATGCGCAGGTGTGCAGTGCACGTGTTGTTTACAATAATTCTGACTACCCGCAGAGGCGCTACGACATACATACATACATACATATACATTTTTACAATATGTTATTCTTAAATTGTATTATACAATTGTATGTAATGTATTGTCATTGAAATTAATTATTATGTATTGTTATTTAAATTAATTATTGTGTTGTAATTAGTAATCATTTACCATTTGAATTCTTACTTTTTGAATTGATATGCTACATTTATCCATTTAGGTTTTCCCTGTAATGGTAGATGTTAGTAGGTAATATAAATAAATATAAAATAAAATAAATATATATATACAATTAATTAGAACAAACCATAAGATCACGCCACTGGCTACTTTATACATCGGGTGATTTCTTACGTCACCGAAACCCATTCATTATACATTGTTACTGGGAGACCTTAACGCAAAACTAGACACAAGAATAAAATTGAGTTGACGGTAGGGGAAATTCAGAAGGGCAACGAACCCCAAACAACAACTGGCCGACTACTGACTACTACTACTACGACCGAGAGACGGACTCTTTATGATGATCTCTTTTTTCCAGAAACTTCTTAACAGGAAGTGGACCTTGTAATCCGGGGAATCGACAAAAAATGAATGAAGTCATTATGACGACCGGACATAAACTGTTCAGTGACATCTCAGTGATCGCGAAGGTGAAAACTGGCAGCGATTACCTAATTGAATGAGGCACACTGAACCTTAATGTTACGTTGGAGATGTCACGTTTATTTAAGTCATTGCTCCATCCTCTTTGTTATTCTCTAATCCAAAGCCCCGAAAACTGTCACTTCAAATTACAAAATCATTTTCAGTGCCTATAAAAATGCAATACTGTGCAGTGCAGCTGGTGGAATCTGTCCATGCGGTTGGAGCTAAGTTCCGTAAGACCCATTGCAGAATAACCTAAACGCTCACCGATCATCTCATTGTTTCTTAACCAAGCGTTTGTTTTCTAGTGTTGATAAGTCTGGTGGGCGGGTCTCTGGGCGCCGTGGGATGGGGTGCGTTAGGAGAACGCTTGGGCCGCCGTCGCACGCTATTGTCTTGCCTCGCTGTCAACGCAGTTTTCGCCGCCATTGCCGCTTTCATGCCCACCTATGGCACATTCATGATGGCCAGGTAAGCAAATAAGCTTTAAATTAAGTGACTATCACTGGCAACATTAGTAACGTATTTTCATACATTTGTTCATTCACTTATTACAGCATTTCAAAATAAACTAGTAAAATTGTTTAAATAAAAACTGGTCAAGTGCGTGTCGGGCCATGTGCAATATAGAGGTACGGTATCATTGTTGCCCGTCACAATACGTTGGCTTTCTTGATAATGAACACAATAAGTGGGTTCGCAGTTTGACCGTTATAACGACTAAAAAGAGGCCAAATGGGAAGATGGTAACATAAGGACTTATTTTCAAATCGGACTTATTGGGAGTGGTATTCAAAAATGATTAACAAACTTTATGATTTAAATAATAAAATTTACATCAAAACAATCCGTAGAAAGATGGTCATAGTTGATTATAAATTCCCGTCAGTGCAACACTAAGGTATATATGATCGCAACGAATCTTCCCGTAAACCACCACTGCCCTAAATTATCCTGATGGTAGCCTGCGTAAACCAAGACTGTTGTACAGTCAGTTAGCTTTATGTTTAAATATTGACCCAATTAGCTTTTAATTGCTCAAGTACCTGGCTGCACATGAATATGGTAGGAAGAAGTATTGGACCCTACAGACCCTAACTAGGTTCCCTATACCTAATAGTCCCCAGCAGTCCCTAATACCCTAGCCCTACCATATAGATACATATACATAAATTAGAAAAGTACGCGATGTCTCCACCATGAACTAACAGACGGTCAGAGACAGGATGTCAGGGTTAGGTGATGGGGTTCTCTCACTGCTAGTCAAGGTGACTCACAAGACTGATCAGAGGTTCTGACAGCTAAAGGTGTCTTGGCCGCAGTGAGAGCGAGGTCTTAGTCGAGCGTTGGCGGTAATATCGAAGTCGTCGCGTCGTCCAGTGTTGAAATAGGATTTTATTAACTAATTATTACAATTTGTGTTTGCATTGAGGTAAATATTTGCGTTATTTCTGAGATTATTCAGTAAAACTATTGGTCTACGTGAGTTTTGTTAACGCGGTCACAGTATCTGCGTACCAATGTTCGGAACAGAACAAGTGTGATGAATGAAACTGATATAGGCCTTGGTACAATAAGTACCTACCAACTAAAAAATAAGCGTACATAAGTAAGAAAGATCCTCCCTGCCTATCCCGCAACTGAAAAATTAAAGCTGTAGTAGTAATAATTTCTTACATTTTACAATAACATTACGAAGTGATAATACAGCTAAATTGTTACTAATCCAAGTGCAGTTTATAAGTTGGTTCACTATTAGTTTAGTTTTCCTTTTAATGTCATTATATATACTACTATTGTGTATACTTTCACATTTTCAAAAATAGCCGTTTAGTTGGTAGAAGGGGGGGGGGGGCGAGGACACATGACTCTAATAAAAAACCCTGAACCTACCCTGAAACGAAAAGATGTACCATACCCCCAGTGTTTTTTTAAAGACACCAACATACACGTTGGAATAGACAATTAAAAAAAAACATCCTTCATGTATGGGAGGTACCCGAAATAAAATGTTTTTTGAGAATTTAATTCACAGTTTTGTTTGAGTGATTAATATCTATAACTATGCCCAATTACAGATTTTTAGCACCGAGGGTCTGTGAGTACAACATTGGGTACCTTGTTGTGTAACTGCGGAACCCTAAAAAGGGTGAATTTCGTACGACGTAGCCTTAATCGTTTGTAGGTTCTGCTCGGCGATCGGGTCCGGCGGCACGGCGGCCGTTGGGTACACGTACTGTGGCGAGTGGTGCGGGCGCACCTGGCGGCGGCGCGCGCTGGCGCTGTTGGCCGGCGGCGCGGGCGCGGGCGCGCTGCTCGCCGCCGCGCTCGCAGACGCCGCGCTGCCAGACACCGGCGCCGCCGCGCTCAAGGAGAACAAGGAGCACTTCAGCGCCTGGCACAGGTACTGCTGCTCGTTGTTGTTACTGATGCTGTCGGCGGGCGGCGCGGGCGCGGGCGCGCTGCTCGCCGCCGCGCTCGCGGACGCCGCGCTGCCAGACACCGGCGCCGCCGCGCTCAAGGAGAACAAGGAGCACTTCAGCGCCTGGCACAGGTACTGCTGCTCGTTGTTGTTACTGATGCTGTCGGCGGGCGGCGCGGGCGCGGGCGCCCTGCTCGCCGCCGCGCTCGCGGACGCCGCGCTGCCAGACACCGGCGCCGCCGCGCTCAAGGAGAACAAGGAGCACTTCAGCGCCTGGCACAGGTACTGCTGCTCGTTGTTGTTACTGATGCTGTCGGCGGGCGGCGCGGGCGCGGACGCCCTGCCCGCCGCCGCGCTCGCGGACGCCGTTATGCCAGACACCGGCGCCGCCGCGCTCAAGGAGAACAAGGAGCACTTCAGCGCCTGGCACAGGTATTGCTCTCATCACCTTATGGTTCCACCACGATGCTCCTCGCGCTGTCGCGATGTTGCCCTCTCTGCAGCTCGCGCAATTAATCGCGACACTCCACACTAGGTTGCTTGCGTTTGCAACACAATATATGTCGAAACTGAGGTAGCTTGCGCGCTATATGCATAATATAATTAGTATAGCTAATTATATCAATGTAATCAAAAGAAAAATACGTCGTAATCCTCGCCAACAGCGATGGTGGATGACATCTATTCGTCGCAATAGAACGTTCCCGTACCAGAAACGGGGCCTCTGTTGTAGCGAGCGCTCGGGGCCCCGAATGCTTAGTGATGTAACCCCCGAGGAGGATGATGTCTCGGAAATGATCCCGAGATATCGTGACAGCATTGCGAGGGTGCTGAAGACAGAAAGGACTGCATCGAAGCGTGCGTGCTTAATAAAGCAAAGCGAGAGATGGGCCACTGTTGCGTTCCGAACGGATATCCCAGGATCCCTTATATACGCTGATTGTGACCACCGTGGGGTTTTCTTTTGTTTGTTTTTTTCGTTGCCTCCGCAGTGGAAATTATCCATGTAGATATCCTATGCGAAAAAATAAAAAAGGTATTAAGTACTCGTTGTTGTTGTTACGACTCGTCAGTTAAGGCAAGTGAAGGTCTAATACCATACAGCCTTGTCCGATTTAAACTGTGTTCACAATATGCCGATTTATCCCATTGTGAAGTTTTTGGGAGATTTTGATAACAGCTTCACCCAGCAGACGGTTGATGACGATAATATCCACTCTCAAGGTATCAAGTTGGATAATGTCCGTTTCCTTAGCACACAGTACCTAGAATCTACGCAATACACCAATTCACTTTATTATCTTTAATTTAAAAAAAAATAGGTGATGATAGGTGAACGAACTCAAAGCGTATGGCCTATAGAAATTTTTCAAATTTATTGCTTTTTTATGAAATTTTATCCAATTGATTATGTCATTTATTGAGTCCTTTACTTAAGTCAAGATGAAATTCACTTTGAATTCACTTCGGACTTTTTACAACGTCAAAATAGCATCACCTATCAATTGCTCTTGCGACCGAATATAGACAGTATTTCTATTCGAAAACGCCAAACATAACTTTAATAAAACATATTGAGGTAAGGAGCGGCATCACCAGTGCAAGGTGACCGGCACGATGATCTTATCGGTGATGGGTAGGGCCGGATGGGATGGGTAGGCGAATAATCGACTAAGCTCTTTGAAGTATTACGGTCCACTTGGGGCATTCTTGGAAAGGTTAATAATATCGTATTAACCTAAAGTTTTCTTCTATATCAGGTACCTCCTCCTGTGCACTTTACCAATACTGGCTTCTTTAGTAAGCTTGATTTGGACTCAAGAATCGCCGAGATATTTACTGGACGTGGGACGAGAGGTTGATGCCATGATGGTGTATCAGGTAAGAGTTTTCGAAAACACCTTTTTTCCAAATCCTACTAATTTTTAAGATTTTTACGATCGTTATTTATTTCTTTCAGTTACTAGATTTGATTGTTTAAATATGTAATATTATATTGACCGCCTCGTTGGTCTAGTGGTTGTAGAAGTGCGACTGCTGATCATGAGGTCCTGAATTCGAATCCCGGGTCGGGCCAACAAATTAATTATTGAGTTTTTCCGTCAAGAAATTCTCAGTAGTTGCCCGGAGTCTGGAAGTTGGCGGTGTCTTACCTCCGTGCCTCGGAAAGCACTTAAAGCAGTTGGTCTTGCGCCTGATCTCTCGCCGGTCGTGTCGGTTTACCGTCCCATCGGATTATGAGAGTGAGGGAATAGAGAGTGCACCTGTGCTTGCGCATACACTTAGGCACTATAATCCTGTTCTGTACCGATGCCTAGCCTCCGTTGAGGCAGGCCGCCGTGGCCGAAATTCGGTCTGGAGGACATTATTATTATTATATGCAATACTTTATTTTAACTAATACTTTTTCCTTTTTATCATTAAGAAATTTGATTTCTATCATGATAATAAAATAAGGTATAGATATAAATGGCATTTAATAAAACTAGTTCGTAATAGTCTTAAATTATGATATTTAAGATACTCCAAAAAGATAAATTAACTTATCATACTTCCAGAATATTCATAGCAGCAATCAAATCCGCATCTGCGGTAAAACGAACGTCGCTGCTGCCGGCGGAGACTCAGAGTACAGACTAGGAGAATTGTCGCTTCCTGGCAAACGTCGGCCTCCCGCACTTCATCATGTTCGTCATAGTGTCAAAATGGTAAATACAATTCAGATATTTTCTTATATAATGTTCAGCATTTGTTACAATCGTCTTAAATTTACATTAATGATTCGTATATCCGAGGTTATGAGGAAAAATCGTGTATTTCATAAAATTTGTTTAGGACCGGGTATTAATTAGTGTTGTTCAATAAAAGGTTACTTAAATATTAGCCTTCAAGAAAAGAGCTTGACTCCTTTCCAAAAGGGCGGCAGTGCGCCTGCAATTCAACTGATGTTGTAGTTGTTCATGGGCGGCGGTAGTCACTTACCATCAGGTTATTTTTTAATATAGGATAGGGTGACAAACGAGCACACAGTCCACCTGATGGTAAGTGGTTGCTGTGGCCCATAGACATCTACATATATCCTCGATTACGAACCAAAATGCAGATGCGTTGTCACCCGTGAGGACCAGAGTTGTCACGAGTAAAAAGGGTCTCCAGTTCTCCACACTCACCATACTAAACACAGCAGAATTAAGTTACTATTTGACCCAGCGTCAAATAGTAACTTAATTCTGGAATGAATATTCTGTGAGAGCGTGGTCCTTCCCCGGTTGAACCAACCCATTCGTGCTACAACTATACTACTAATATAACTGCAGCATAGCTCTATCACGTATGAACATGCAGCATAGTTCTACCAGGTGAGCCACATGCTCGTTAAAAATTATTATATCTTCAATTAAACGAGGGGGTTTTATAGAAGATATACATTTTTTTACAAATACTAAAGTTTAAAGAATAAAGTAAGTGAGACATAATGTAATCAATTTTTGTTTACAGTTCTGGCAAGCATTCTTTCAACTTTTTTCAAGCCCATACCGAAGTACAACGATCTCTCTTGGTGGAATATTACTTTTTAGTATGGCTATACAGGTAAGTACTAAAAATTCCTGTATCAAATAAAATTGCTGATTTCGGCATTACAAGCATGCTATATGCTATTTTATATAAGTGTTTTTGTTCAGCAATTTTAAAGTGTTTATTTATTTTTGTCATCTAAGGTTTTTCTGTCATACAGGCTAAACCGAAAATTCTAAACATACTTAATTTGTTGGGAACTGTTGATTGTAATTCACGTTCAATATTATCGTTTAGAAAAATATATACATTAACGTATTTATAGACATATGAGTTAAGAGCCCTCTTACATTTTGGTTTACGCAAATTTAGGTATTTTACGCTCCAAGCGGGAGATGACCGACGCGAGCGATAAGTTATTTCTTATATCTATTCACTCGCTCGTACTATGGTACTGTGACTGTAGCGACTAAACGATCTTGATCCTCCATTATACAAGTTTTCTTAGGATGGAGTTCAGTGGATGGAAAAATTTTGGCGTGTCATTTTTATGTTATCTAAATAATTTATTATAATCTATTTGATATATTTTTCATTATTTATGAACTTTAGTGTTGAAATAAATACACATAAATATTTTGTTTCGAAGTAATCGATTGTTAACCGACGTTGGTTAATAATCGATTATATCTACTAAAGGTAGCATAGTGGTATAAATAAATAAATAGTACTGTTGCAACCTGTTTTAATAAATAAAATAACCAACTGTAACTAATATTTTTTTAATCGGTACTTACAGTCAATTACGAGGGTGGATTGAAAAGTACTCGGCCTAACACAGATCCATTCAATTCTAAAAATCAAATCTACCCACATTATTTAGTTCAGTTCAGACTAGTTCATTGTGTGAAGTTCGAAACGTGTGCGATAATTAGTTGTGATTTTATAAATTTATTAACAAAGTAATCGGACATAATTTCCGCGAATGGAGCAAATCGAGCAGCGTGCCGTCACTAAGTACCTCCATAAGAAGGGGCTATCATCAAAAGCCATCCATGATGACATGGTCAGTACATTAGGCGATTGTGCTCTGTCATATTCATCCGTCAAAAAATGGATAGCAGAATTTAAGCGTGGTAGAGAGAGTGTGAAAAATGAACCCCGCTCTGGAAGGCCTTCGACGTCAACTACTGACGAAAATATTAAAAAAAGTACTTGATTTAATAATGGGAGACCGCAGATTAAAAATTAGAGAGATAGCCGAGATTATAGGCATCTCTTATGAACGAACTCAAAACATCACTGTCAACGAGTTGGGTTTCCACAAGGTGTCTGCGATGTGGGTTCCGCGACTGCTTTCAGTTGAACAAAAAAAGACGCGATTGACTATTTCACGCGACTGTTTGGAGTTATTTGAAGCCGATGCAGATGATTTTTTGAATCGTTTTGTTACTATGGACGAAACATGGGTTCATTACTGTACACCGGAAACAAAACAACAATCAAAACAGTGGAGAAGACCTGGTTCACCACCCCCTAAAAAAGGCTAAGTCGATTTTGTCGGCAAATAAGGTGATGGCTTCAGTATTCTGGGACTCGAAAGGTGTGATTATGATTGATTATCTTGAAAGGGGTCAGACTATAAACTCTGATTACTACTGCACCTTACTACGTCGTTTACGAGAGGAAATAAAAGAAAAACGTCGAGGAATGCTCAGAAGAAAAGTCATGTTTCATCAAGATAACGCCCGTGTTCACACGTCAGTACAGTCAATGGCTGAAATTCACAACTGTGGCTTTGAACTGTTACCGCATTCGCCGTATTCACCTGATCTGGCACCATCAGACTTCTTTCTGTTCCCTAACCTAAAAAAGCACTTGGGAGGTCAAAGATTTTCGACAAACGACGAGGTCAAAGCAGCTGTAGACGCATATTTTGACTCTAAGGAAGAATCATTTTTTTTCAACGGTCTAAATGCTTGAAAGGGGAGGTGGCAAAAGTGTATTGAACTTGATGGTGATTATGTAGAAAAATAAAAATATAACTGATTTAGTATGTGTTTATTTTCTTGGTTAGGCCGAGTACTTTTCAATCCACCCTCGTACCATATTTTTATTATAAAAATATTTGCCGCAACGGCATTGACCGAGCTTATCTCGAGTCAATAATTTCAGGCAGTACACACTTTTTATAAAACACTTGTAATATGGGTAACATATTCAAAATGCAAAATTTGTCGTCTTTGTAGATTTTTAGTACTTTTACCGCAAAATCTGGGTCAGTCTATATGGCAAACAAATAGACATTTTTATTCTCCATTATTTTTTCTCCAGAGATAGGATATTTCTTCTTTTACGTTTAGTGATACATTGATACTTGTATTTATTTTTCCCCATTCGGACTGGTAAGAAGAAAACTCAGCTACAATCAAAATACCTATAATGAGTTAACTATCTGGTATAATGTGCAAACTTTATACTATTTGAAATATACTGTACGAAAGTAAAATATTTCCAACGATTAAAAACTGCGGGCGTAGTTAGCGATGCTTTAGGCACAAAATAGCAGCGCCTAGCCAATCGACGCACACTACGATAATACCGAAATAAGCCGGAGCGCGCGAAATCAAGTGACACAGGTCCAACCTTGACGACCGCTCGTCCGGTAATTATTTTATAATGCCGGCGCAGGGAAATATATGGTGGTTTTATTTAATTAATTAAAAATGATGATGAAAGTAAAAATCACAGTATATTGAATAAAACTAAATTTACGGATTTTATCGCGTTTATTTCACTACTTTTACTTATTTTTTAATTCCCGACGTTTCGGGTGCTTTACAGCAACCATGGTCACGGGGGGGACTGAGATGTTTGACGTCCCAATGTCATAGTTAGTCCGGCTACCTTCAGTTTTTGAATATTAATTTTTGGTCCGATTTACGCAAAACGAGCTTATAGTATCATGAAGTCTTGCAGTGGTATGCTTAGGTTTGGGCTTAATTTTGTTAGTTATAGGATCCCAAGCAGGTGGCAGCACCCATCCATCTTCTCTATTGAAATTTGGATGTTTTTTAATTTCAATAGGCTCGCGTATCATCCTTGGTAGGAAGCGGTGTTCTTTTGCGAGAATTTGTGGTTTATCAAAACGAATGTAATGGTGGGGACGATCTTGAACATGTTCGCAGACTGCAGACTTCCCTGGAGCGTCGGTGCTTCACGTCAGCTATATGTTCTTTCACGCGGGTTTTTATGGATCTTTTTGTTTGACCTATGTAAGAGAGACCACATTCACAATCTAACTTGTACACTCCTGCATCTTGTAGAGGGATATTACACTTGACGGATGGTAAAAATTGACTAATCTTCTTCGGCGGCTTGTAGTATGTTTTAATAGAAGCTCGCTTCAAGATGTAGCCAACCTTGTCTGTGACTCCTCTGACATATGGTAGTACAGCAGGTACACGATCGACTGTGGCCGGCTTCACTCGGTCACTGTGACGTAGACGCGGGACCCGAAGCTTGTTGTCTTGCAATACTTGCTTGACGTGCTGAAGTTCGGCGGCCAGATGTTTTCTGTCACAGATCCCTCGTGGTCTCTGAAACAAAGATTTACCCACGGTAGCTAACTGTGAAGGATGATGGTGAGATTCACCATTTAACGGAGAATCGTTAGATCTGGTCTGTTCCGTAATCTAACGATTCTCCGCGCGGATAAAGGAAATGCTACGGTAATAATGGACACGTCAGAGTACAATTTTAAAATACTACAGCTTTTATCGGACGAAAGAACATACAAAAAGGTCAAAACAAACCCCACAACTAACACGCTTAAAGCAACTAGCGATTTAATAAAGAAACACTCCGAAAAAATTAAATCTCGACGTGAATTCGCTAATACCATCATGTACCAAACCACCGAGGTTGTATGGGTGTTCAAACGTTAGAATAGAAAAAAAATGCGCGGATTGAACTATTTTGTAGTAATCGCGACACTTCTTACTTGAAATAAAAGTAATTAGAAATATATTTTGGAATTGCTACTTAATTTACCTACAGTGAGAGAAAATTAGTCTGGCCCACCAGGAAGGGTAAATGAAATAGGTAAACTCACGGTTAGCGGCAGCGGCGATCAACTCCAACTTGGCTTCAACGATATCTTCGGATGTGGAAGGCTTCAGTCTTCCTTGACCACACTCCTACGTAATTATATAGTCTATGCACACATCTGGGTCGACCCGGCACACTCACTAACGCTATTTACATTAATTTTTATATTGGAAGGCTTAGACAAGAACAGCCATTACCGATGCAGTTCGTCTTGAGTCTCGATTACATCTCCGTATCGATCGCGTCGACTTCTTTTACAGACGCTTTTGTTGTGGGCCAACAGATGGCGCCATAAGTTTGTTTTGCGGTTAATTGGAAAGAAGGATGCAATAAAAAAGTAAGGAAAGCAAGCCAGTACATAATTCCCCCCACTTGAAATCGTTTCAGATTTCATGAGTAAATAATCAATAGCAGTTCTCACTATAAAATTAAATACTTCAAAAATAGAAGCTAGCTTAGAATAATATGTACCTAACTTACTGTAGTATTCACAATTAAATTTTAGTTGCATACTCTTGGAAGGGTATATAAGGCCACATAATTTAACAACTAAATCTACCAGCTAAATAACAAAAGGCTATAATATTAATTATGAGAAAAAAAATTGACAAGTATTGGTATATTATTGATTTAATGGTAGAGGACACAGTTTATTCACTGGTCTCTTAAGGAGTCCATTAGTAGTGCGTAGGGTGACCACACGCACTACACCGTCTTTGCCGGGATGCACGTCTTGAACTCTACCTGAACGCCACTCTAGTGGTGGTACATTGCTATCGACAATTAATACAATATCTCCGACGTGAACATTCGGTTGTTCTCGAAACCATTTAGCGCGTTGCTGTAAGGTATGGAGATAATCGCGTTGCCAAATATGCCAAAAAGACTGTGTAATTTTTTGCAACATCTGCCAGCGGGCCCGAGGGGAAACATATTCATTAGAGAGTTCAGGTTCTGGTAACGAT